AGTATTATTCAATAAAGTAATAAAATAATAAATGAAAATTTTAATTTTGAGTTTTGTTGAAATTATTATAAAAGGAAAGAACTAAACAAATACATGTACATATCGATATGTACATGATAATGATATAATGACCAACATGTAATGATAACGATTGTTGGCTGATCACGCAAATGCGTCTAATGCGTCGCTAAAAATGCGCATTATTGTTCTCTGATTCCAGGGTACATTACTTTTTACCCTATAAACTGTTCTGTAGCGGTCGGATAAATTGTACAGTACAGTTTATCGTTATACCTATTTTATCGTAAAAAAACAGAAAACAATTGATAAAGAGGCAAAACAAATCTGTCACAGAAAATGAAGAGTATGAAATCAAAGAAAAAAAACGCCTGCTGAAATTCATCATCATCTTGGTAACCGCGTGTAGAATCTAAATCGCAAAGTAAATTTTATAATCATAAACAAATTTCGGTATATTTTACAATTACCTTCGAAACAGTCGAAGCATAGCAGAAACCTCCAGAAAAGAATCTAATAACTGAAGGACCAAAATAAATTTATAAACATAATAATTCACAGTAATGTTGGCTTATTTATAATTACCCGTTAATCTGTTGAAACACACCAATATCTCGTAGACATGACGAGCAAAGAATCTAATCAATATTGGTAGAGTCTAAATATCCAAATAAATTTATCATTCATACAAACTATTATGATGTCAATACGACTTATAATTACCTGAAAAACTGTTAAAACACGCCAACACCTCTGTAGACTTTACCAGCAAAGAACCTAGGAAAAGCTAGAGCCTAAATATCCAAAATAAAAAATTTTATAAGCATAGCTCATATGAAATATCTAAAATAACAAATGAACATACATCACAACTCCACATCATCAATATCAAAATGCTCTGTTTCCTCTTGAGCATTATCCTTCTGTTCCTTGCAAGAGAACATCTAGAATATATTCTTTGCTGGTGAGTGTCAGCCACTTAATTATATATTGCACTGCATATATACTAAAGCTTCAGTAATGAATAACTCCCATTCAGCATTTCCTGCAGTATCAAGTAATGTTGCTGTGAATCCTAGCCTTGAAAGTATCTTTCCAATCAATATAAAGCAAAAGATATTGAAGATGTAACTCAGTATGATATATATGATACTCTTACTACTATTCATCTTACTAATAATATAGTTGATAATAATGCTATATTATTTCTTGCATCCAGCAGCTGGTTTGGCTGATAATGTGAGTTTTGTATACTCATGGTATATGTAAATATATATGTATGATATCTTAAATCTTATAGTCTCAGTTATACTAATTATGGTTCTTCCAGAGCTAAGTTTTTACTTCAATTAGAGACTATAGCAGTGATGGTAAAGTTGTTTATGATTGGACTTAAAGTGTCAAATAATTTCTCTATCTCTGTTAGAAATTTTATTTATTATTTTTTCAATTCTGAGTTCTTCAAGCTGAGAAATATTTGAGATTCTTCTTTTATGAGCTTGAAGAATATAGCTTACTTCTCTCTCAGATATATAACAGCTGAATGAGAACTTTGCTAAATGATATCAGTATATATTGACTAGTGTTATTATTTTATTATTCTTATTTTTGCTTTCTTTATTCTTGGAAGAGTGCTTACTGTCTCAAACTTTCTCACTTTGATCATCATCTCCATTATTAGATTGATTAAGCTGATTATTTGTATTCTTAATATCCTAGGATTGCAAGAGTAATAACTGTTATCACAGTGATATTTTGTAATAATATTGACAATAATAGTAATTATTGCTATTATTATTGTATCATTATATTATTATTATTATTATTATTTTTATTGTTGTTATTATTATTATTATCATTATTATTATTGCTATCTTTGTTATTTTTGTTATTATTATTGAAATTATTATTATTATTATTATTATCATTATTATTAGTACTATCACTATTGTAGTTATTATTCTTATTATAATTACCACCTTCACTTTTTATAGTTCTGATGAATGCCAGCATAGATCTAGATTCTTGATAAGTCTTCTTGCTAGTAATATCTAAGATAGAATAGCTAGTTGCTATATTACTAAACTTATTACTAGTCATTTTTATTTTTTTGTCAAGTTCAAGTATCTTAAAAAGATACTGGTTCTAATTGGATATATACTTTGAGAGCTTATTTTTCTAAAAATAAATGGATTAATGTTATTGATAATTAAACATTTTTATTAAAATTAACAAATACTTTTTGAATTATTATGATCACTTGCCTCCAATAAATTCTTAAATCATCACTTTGTAATTCAAATATAGGATGTATTTTTATTAACAACTAAGTATTTCAAATAAAAGAAAATAGACTTAACCTCAATATCGAAGAATCTGAAACTCAAATCATAAAAGCAGCTCCACACATTCTCCTCAGAGATGCGAAAATTCACCTAGATAGTTCCCGAAATAATAAATTTACCAAACAAATAGATCTACTATGTAAATCACTTGTATCGTAACTTTTTATCACGCATTTATTCAATAAACGGGTTCTTGCTTCACCCTCCCTTTTTGGGAAAAAAAAAAAAAAAAAAAAAATAAAAGAAAAAAATATTTAGTGAAAATGCATTACATTATCTACCAAATATCTTTGTATCTTCCTTTATGAGGTAGGATAAAATTCTATCAAAAAGAAGTGATTTACATAATATAATTACAACTGATACTTGGAATAGCATAGTAACTGATATTCTTGAGTTAGCAAATACCAGTCAGATCTCTGAACAATTATAATTCAATTATAGTCCACTCTCTAATCTTAGCTATACATCACACAGACATAAAGAGATGCTGTTTCTATTGCAACTTAAACTTAAATTGGCATAACAACTAATATAAATAGTAAATATTATCAGTTTTCTATACAATCACATCTAATATAGTCATATAAAAGAAATATTGACTATATCTTTGTCTGTAAATCAAGCTCATTTATAATAATTACAAATTATTTACAATAAAGTTTGTAAAGTATATATCAGTTATTAGTAACTGGTAAAGAATCAACAATATCATTACTATATAAATTCAGAAATTCATAATATAGTAATAGTGTATTACAGTTGAAATAGGCAAGAAAAACTAGGAGATTTGAAGTAGATTAGGAAGTGGAAAAAGAATTATAGTTACAAGTTAAATGACTATTTGAATAAAAAAAGATACGAAAATAATATTTACTAAAATGAAAAATATGTGTATTTATTTATATAACAACTGATATATACATGTATATTTGAATTTTTTCCTTACATATTGAATGATCAACGGAAAAATTTTTATCATATAACTAACCTCCTTTTTACAAGAGACGTGAAAAAAATACAGGACACTCTTTGAACCTTTATTTCGAAATATATGTCCAGCTATTAAAACTTTTTAGATAACAATAAGTATGATCCGTGTAGTGCATACATTTCAGGATTGAAACACTATACATACATTAACGTAATGTTGACATCTATTAAAATTGACAAATGTATACTAAAAATGGAGTAGAGCATTTACAAGATATGATTATTCCCAGCATGACGCTATTCATGTCGAAAATAATATTAATACTGTGAGAATATAAATTTATAATATTAAATATTATGGGAACAATATAAATTCTGGGCTATAATATATTGATTATAATGGCTGTGGCTGACAAACATAATATATCATACATGAGAGCTTAAAAAATTATTAACCCTATTGACTATCGTATAATCAACAAATGCATCACGACAAATATTCCCACAATTCCCACAAATATACGATTTATTTATTTATAAAAGGTTTTATTCGTCTCATTTACTTCTCCTCACTTTCTTTCACTTTCTTCTACTTTCTTCTCTTCTCTCTTACTTTTTTCTCTTTACTCATTTTTTTTCTTTATTTATTTTCTTGTCTATTCACTTTGCTTGTTTGTTAGCTTTATCCTCCCTTGCTCTTGTTCACTCGTTATCCCACTAGTTTTACTCACTTATTTTGTTATTCACTTTGCCCACACTATCTCTCGCCTATCCGCACCCTCATGCTCACTCATGTTTCTCTCGCTTGTCACTTGCTCGTCTACTTGCTTTGGTTTACTCGTCCACTCAGTCTTGTTTTTTTTATTAACCAAACTCAAACCATCACCAAAAATTCCTTCAATATTATTAAGACTATTGATCTGCTAATACGACAAAGTCATGATATCAGATTACATGCTTCAGAGTCAATCATATAGGTAAGTGGGTGCACACACTTGCTAAGTGAATGTATCTTGGTTACGCGCCTTGAAATCATTTGCGAGAATATCATCGATCTTAATTTGAATCATTTTATGTGAGGTTAATGATCAAATATTCGACGCAGGATAAGGTCGACCTTTTAGATTTGGGTGAAGTGTAATGTTTTATATTTGCCTACCTTTTTTTCGTTGCACACCGGATTTATTCCATGGCACGTTCCAATATTTCCAAATGAATGATATTCCGCATGCATGGTATTCCAACTATACGGAATCACGCACAAATTACATATAGGTGAGCGGAGTGCACATACTTGCTAACTAATTATCTACGTGTACAATTCCATTTTCTTCGCAACTATTTAAAACGTTTAATTTCTTAATTACTACAAAAAAATTGTCTTATTTCCTCTAAAAAAAACTTATAACTTACGCGTATATTCCTTTTTTAATATACATACTTTTTTAGTTTCGATAAAACCGATATCATTCGATAATTGGAGCCTCGAGGATCTCGCTAAATGTTATGCGAATCAAATGCTAATGGATTTAAAGGCAAGTTTTAGAGCGTTGTGATTAGAACGTTGTGATTAGGCTATTAGTTCAAGACACATGTAGGCTGAAGTGCTGTGATAATAGTCTGTCTATTAGCTTGCCAAGGCACATCATATGTGCTAAAGCATGGTGACAATTGGGTTAAAGCGCTGTATTAGTTTGCCAAGGCATGTCAGAGGTGCTAAAGTGCTATGATGTTTTATGTGGCCTCGATGAGCGACTAGCCGAATTGGGAGATTTGCTATCACTCGATCACTTGCTACCCTTGTATTTTGAGGACTTGCTACCCTTGTATTTTGAGGACTTGCTATCCTTATTTTTAAGGGTGAGTAAGCGGACTAGCCTGCCGAGGACGCAAATCATCTAGTCAGAAGTGCGTGATGGCTGCTATGGCACATCATGTGTGCTAAGCGCTGTGATAACATGCTATTAGTTTGTCAAGGCATATCATGTGTGCTAAAGCTATGAATGGTAGTCTACTAATATGCTAGCACAACGTAGATGCTTATTATTGCTGTGATGAATCAAACTTGATTGATGATGAATCAAACTTGCTTACCATCCCTTTCAATATATAGGATTAATACATCGACTCGGTAACAATTTTACCCGACAATATATTCGGATCACGGAGCACAGAATCCTGTAGATGACTTGCCACGTTATATACAACCTTCATGTTGTCTCGTATTATAAGTAGACATAATTGGATTTTGTATGCTATTACGGTTGTGGTTGTGTTAATGGTTTTTGTTCTCGTTGATGATAGCTGGCATTGACAATTCTCTTTTATTAATCGGTTTCCTCTCTCTTCTGATTTTATTTCTTATGACTATAAAGATTTTAAACTTACCTTGATAATTTCGAAGTTTTGGTCTTTGTGATTGTTTAACTATAACAAGAAGTTTGCAATATGTATTTTTAACGTATGTTTATATTTAACTTTAATAATTCGAATTATAATTTATTAAATGATTATCCACTTTATTGTCTCTTTGCATAGGGTTATTTTTATAAATATGTTATTTTGTTCTAAATTTTGAATTTTATAAACATAAGTTTTAATATTGCTACTGTTTTTTTATTTTTAAATAAGAAGAGCGCAATTTATAAAGGAGGGACTGTGATACACAGAGAAGTATATTCAAATGAGTTTAAACAAAATATAAAAAAAGGATCCATTAAACGAACGTTGCAAGTTATGTGATATCCATCAAAGATTTATTAACTAACGCTTGTAGAACCTAAATATTTGATATTTAATCGATTTGAAATGCTATTTTGTTGTAATATAAAATAAAGGTTCTAACTTTATCAGTTGGGATTAATATTAATTTTGAAGTAATGATTCGACTTGTGTAAATTGCAATTTGAGTGGATTTGTTTTTATCGTTATTTTTATATTCGTAGGAATCCTTTTTTTGACATCATCTCCTTATGAAGTTTTCTAATGTCTGCCTCTCTAATTTAAAATACTCTTGATTCTTCATTTATTTAGGATACTCTATAAAGCTGTCATATTTAAATGTAAATTGTTTCAGCTTGTTATTATCTGCTGGATAACGAGTAGAGAGGATAAAGTCCCAAAGTTCCTCAGCAGTTAGTCTGTTTTCTGGAATAGGGTCCCAACATGGTTTAACAGTAAATTTGCACCACTCGGGAATATTATCTGGTATCGTAGGTCGTACTCCTTTATAAAGACAAAGTTCGTAACTTCGTTCACCAAATGGTCGTTCACTTGTTACGATCTCGTACACAACTATTCCAAAGCTATAAATATCTACAGCGCTAGTGTATGGAAGCAATCCACAATTTCTTGGTTAGATTTTTCTATATCTGCTTGAATGCTAAGTCCAAAATCAGAAATGTGAGGATGTTTTCTTCCAGGGTGAAAGTCACTATGCATAAATTTCGCTCTATGGATTTTTGATAGATTTCCACCATCTTTTGCATAATTCATCACTATTGAATATACTGTATTATAATTGCATTTTTAGTTATTCCATAATATTCAATATTAATGATCTAATTTTGAACAAAATCAACTTTCATTGTAGAAAATATTCATTCTTACCTCATATGTAAACTCTCGAATAATTTGCTTTGAATTATGTAATGATTCAACACAATTTTAATTTCTCTATCTCGTGCAAATATTATTGTCTTCATGATCACAATAAGGATAACTCACTTTTCCATCCAACCAGGTTGCTTTATAAATTATCCCAAAACCTCCTTTTGCAAGATATTCAACGTTGGTAAATCTTTCAAAAGGAATCAATTCGAATATATTTTTATATTTATACATGCATTTAATTATATTATCGATACCTTTATTTCCGCTAGACAATTCATCGATTGGATATTTGAAATTCTCATCGCAACCCATGAATACTATAATCATGCATATTTTGGCTTATCGCAGTATCTATCTTTTTGACAATCAGTTCATTCTTTACAATGATGAGTAATTGATTCCATCTTTGAGTTCACTTTATAAAATGCGTGAATTGAGTTTTATATACATGTACATAGGATACAACCTCGATTCGATTAGCGTTAGTACATGTGCATCAAATGCTTGATAATCGAGCAACATCCATTTTGAAGTTTCGATAGTTCAACGCGATTTTTTATTAAGTAAATCGATCAAAGAGCTTTAATTAAACATGTCCACAGTAATGAATTACACATAATATGAGTTTTTACTAATAAAATTCCATTCATATTTCGTAAAAATTTCATTAAATTATTAACAGAATATTTCATTATTGTGAGCAGGTTTATACTTTAAACCGATTTTCTGGTAAAAATTACGCTTATGTCGAATTTATGAAATTCTCATATTAATATATTGAAATGCTAAAAATCATAGTCATATGTATTAAACACTACGAAGTTTGTCAACGAGTAATAACTCACATTTCAGTTCGTATTAGGTGATAAATTAATACAATATCGATGTGAATGATTGAATGATACGAACAGGGAACTTAAGCTAATTAAACTAATCTATTGACTTTGTTGTGAGCATGATGAATTACTTTCTATTATCTTTTCTTTTCCCACTGTCTATTTCTCTACTAATTTCCCAATTATTGAAACCCATAATTCACATTTCATTTGACTCCGTTCATCAAAGGAGCTACTCTGGCCATGTAATCAAATAAGACTAAATTTTGTTGTTTTGCTAGATATTAATTAAACGTGATTTTTAATAAGTGATGAACCATAATATGAATATTCTTAGCTATTTAAAAAGTATATTTTCCATTTTATTGACTTTTAAATATTTAAATAATGTTTATTACATGACATACATGTATAAACATATACATGTAGTAATCAAATACATACGTGTAAAATTAGATACATGAATTCATAAAGAAAATATTGGATTCTTCTTTTATATCGATATAGCCTACGAAATAACTTTGGAAAATCCACGATGTACATGTACTATAACATGTAATTTCCCATTTCTATTATTGCTTGTAGATCAGCATTTTCATTTGATTTTGATCTGCTTAATGGTGAAACTCGTTAATCCAAAGATGGATATTCGAAGTCACGCCAAAACCTAATCACTAATAGTGCAAACATTTCTCAAGCTGAGAGTAACTACCTCACCGGCAAACGTCACGACATTATGTCACTTTTGACGTAGACGTAAAAAAGTGTCGTAAGAAGTATATAATGACGTAAGATGTATATAGCGACGTATGCCGTATATAGTGACTTGACGTAACTCCACAAAGGCAAGAAATAACACGGCACATTATTTGCGCCCATTGTAAACTCTTTCTCTGTTGAGTTTCTGGGTGGGTGGGAGGAGCTAGTCCGATGTATAACGATTATCTCTCGTTTGTTTTGCTATATCGATATATAAATGCATGTAGTCAACTTCTTGTATAAGATACGAGTACTGCGATGAATATTTAGTTTACAATACTCATGATTGAAGTAAATGAACGTCAAAATGCTACTGCTCTGGATGTTTCAAATATCGAATAATTAAATTTTTTAAAAATAGATTCAGATTGCATTGCAGTATAATACTTTTTGATGTCGCTATTGATTTCGTTTTGTTTAAGGTACATGTACATGTATTATTGGGGTGCGTCATATAATAATTAATCAGGTACCATAGTAAAAATTAATAGTACAGATTTATGCATAAATTGATTGACAAAACCGTTGAGTGTTTTTACTAGTCCAAGATTAATAATCGAAAATTGTTCATTTCGTCTATTTTTTTCTAGCAAATTTTGAAGAAATCAATTAATTTACTGTAACAAAGGGATTAGTTGTAAACTATTTTAATTAATTAGATTTTTTAAATGCTATGTCATGCAGCGATGCATACTTCTAAGCTAAGAAATAAATGGGCTTTTGTTAGAAAAAAATTTAAAACCGTCACTTTAAAAGAAAAAGTTTTTATCTTATTTCATAATAAATTTCATCATCAATTTTATGTTAGTTTTAATTCCGAACCTTTTTGAAACTCGAATATGCCTAATCCTCAATAAGTGTGACCCATCAAAATATGACCGATTCTACTCAACAGTCTAAAAATACGTCTTTCCGTAACAAAATAGACAAAATTCAAGTAACTGCTGAACAATTAAAAAATATTCGAAAAAAAAGGAGATTAACACAAACAAGATTTTATTTCGCGAGTTTCTCAATCAGATATACAAGAAAAACAAACCGCAGATAATCTTTTTAAGGAAATTTTTTAAATTTTAATATCAATATAGACGTGATAGTTGTAATTAGCAATAATGTGCAAATGTACTTTGACATTGAATTAACTCAAATTTAATAATAAAATAAATTAGATTACTTATTTATTTGGTATAAATTAAATAGCTTTTCAAAAAAAGCCTTATCGTTATCTTTTTCATAAATCGACTGAATTTAGTACTTTACCGCTAATAGCGGAAGTCTTGATAAATGAATTATTAGTAAAACTATTTAATTAAGTCAAGTTATTCTTCTTGGGTATTAATATGATCAAATACAAGAGTATTTACTAGTTGAACAATTCTTTGTCTTAATTGGCTAATATGTATTTCTTCAAGATCAAGTTGAATTAATTCTTGAAATAACAAATATGTAATCTGATTAATTGATATTGCTCCAATATTCTCTGTGAGTAAATAAAAGGTATAGAATTATAAAGAAAAGGAGATGACAATAAGGGCAAAAGTCTTGAGAAGGTATTCTAATAGAGTAATTAGGAATTTGATGTGTCTCAAGATGATAGTTAATAGATAGTCTAATAAAAGAATAATAATTGGTTATGAAAACTCAAGACATAAGTATTTATCAATTATGAATGATAAAAGAAAAGAGTATAAAAAAATAACAAAGGAGATATAAAAAGAGTACAACAAAATAAGAAATGTGAAGAGAGTTTTTTTCCATGGA